GGTAACACAAGAAAGTGTGCAGTTATTAAACACATCACTTTTTAAGGTGTAAGTTAAGAAGGATGTAGAGGTCAATTCTCTGTCCATTCATTATTAAATTTACATATACTTGTAAAGAGCAGCTGCTGATCAAATGATGTATAAAAATAAAAATCATAAAAGATTACGACACTTATTTTTCTTTGGACAGTGATGATAAATGACTGTGTATCTCAACAATGTGACAGATGCTGTTTGTCTCCAGCTGATCCACATGAACATGCATGCCTGTCCATCCATCCATCATGTCTGGACAGAGATCTGAAACACTATCTACTGGTGAAAAGATGAACCCAAAGTCTTTATTGTGATGTTGAGAGTTGGTTCCTCTTAATTCGTCTCTTTACAGCGAAACAGATCTTGTGGTTCCAGCTGGACGTCACACACAGGTGACCAACTCACAATGAGCAAATAACTGTTTATAGTACTTTCACATCAAGAAATGACTGGATAATTACTGTTTATCATTTAAACATTTGTTCCCATAATACAGTAATACATGGTGAAGAAACCATCCGTTTTGGTGTTTACTATAAACAACAACAGCCCACCTCCTTGTTTCTACACTCACTGTCCACTTTATCAGCTCCACTGACCGCATAGCTTCACTCTGTAGTTCTACAGTTACAGACTATAGTCCATCTGTTTCTCTGCATACTTTGTTACCCTGTTCTTTAGTGGTCAGGACCCCCATGGACCCTCACAGAGCAGGTACTATTTGGGTGGTGGATCATTCTCAGTACTGCAGTAACACTGATGTGGTGGTGGTGTGTTAGTGTGTTGTGCTGGTCTGAGTGGATCAGACACAGCAGTGCTGCTGGAGTTTTTAAACACCTCAGTGTCACTGCTGGACTGAGAATAGTCCACCAACCAAAAATATCCAGCCAAGAGTGTCCTGTGGGCAGCGTCCTGTGACCACTGACGAAGGACTAGAGGATGACCGACACAAACTGTGCAGCAGCAGATGAGCTATCGTCTCTGACTTTACATCTACAAGGTGGACTGACAAGGTAGGAGTGTCTAATAGAGTGGACAGTGAGTGGACACAGTGTTTAAAAACACCAGCTGAACGTGTGTCTGTTTATTAGGAGGAATAACGTTAGCACGCTCAGCTAAAGCGTTTGGGAAATGGAGACTGAAACTGAGGAGCAGTGACGCTCTGATAAACAGCAGGGGGCGCTCTCACAGTATTCACACCTTATAGTTTATCACAATTTAGTTTTGTGTAAACTTTTATGCCACAACAAAGCTGGCAGCCTAGTAGTGCAGGAATTCTGTCTGTTTTTACAAATACGTAAAATATTTGCTTGGTTTCTACATTATATTTGAATATTATTGGACGTGCACTAAACTGAGGCTCACATGTCTTAACAGTCAGCGTCCCCCTGAAAAACAGTGTTAATTAATAATTATGAGGTCTGTAATGAAGATGTCTACACTGGACAGAGACCTTCATTCATTTACAACAACCAGTCAACAGCAATATTGTTGGCAACATGCAGAATATGAGTGTTGCTGCTCATTGAAGGTCAGAGATCTTGTTTTATGTAAGCTTTAAAAAAAGCTGGCAGCTCTTGAAATAAATATTTATTTTTAATGCACTGATTATGTATTTTAATGTGGAAAATTGCCTGAAAATGGCATAAAAACCTGGAGCTTTATTACAGAAACTTCCTTTTAGTCTGAAAAAGTTCAGATCTGACAGCTTGAGATTTTTCACAAATTCATATTACAGAAGCAAATCTGATCTTAATTTAGGAATTTTATCTCATCTCCAGTTAGGAAATCTTAACCTACTCTATCAAAGTCAACAATCAGCTATCATGTCTGTTGCCTAGCAACCGACCATAAACACACAGCTGAAATGTAAACATGTAATCAAAATAATGTTAAAATGTGAGTTAAGCTGCTGTTACTGATGTAAAAAAGGTCAAACTAAACTAAAGTGTGATGAACTGTACAGTGTGAATACTGTAAGAGCGCCCCCTGCTGTTTATCAGAGCGTCACCGCTCCCCAGTTTCAGTCTCCATTTCCCAAATGCTTTAGCCGAGCGCAATTTGTATATAAACAGGTTCGTAAACCAGCACAGCTGCAAACCGACAGACTGAAACATATTAACACACGTAATGTACAAGCTTCATATTTAAGGAAGTATCCTGAGTGTTCTGTGTTGTACTGGAGCACCGCCAGTACTCGGAGGCGTCTGATTGGCTGATTCTTACCTGCACCAGCAGTTTGAGGCGTGTGATTCGCTGGAAGGGGAGGATGAGGAAGGAGGTGAATGACAGGCCTTTAACCTTCGGCTGGTTCTCCAGGGCAGCCATGGTCTCCCGAAAAACAGCGTTCTCCTGCCTGAGGAACAGATGTGCAGACACAGTCAACATCACTGCGCAGAGCAGAGGAGGTGCTTTTATAGAACCTGTTTAAAAAGTGCTTTATATAGACGCCGACACTGTTCCTCTTAGAGTCTGATTATTTACTCATTTAATTAATTAATTAGTTAATTAATTAGCATTATTAAGTCTGAGAGCAGGAATACAGACTGAGTTTATTATCACAGTAATCTTTCGTCTTTAATCATCACAAATCAGATTCATTTATAGATTTATTAAGATTATAGTAACTATAGTTTTCACTTTAAATCCTGACCCTCAGGTTCCGCTCATGATCACACCTGTACACACCGTGTTTGTGCTTTTCTTCTGAATAGACTTGAACTGAATCGTTCTTATATCTGTGTTGTTTTAAGGGAATGGTGGGGGGGGGGCGTTGGCATGGCAACCCTGCAACTTCTACACCAAAACCAGAGTGATTCACAGGATGAGGTGTGCGCTGTTAGTACCGAACACGGTTGCCATGGTAACAAAGCAGGTAGATCAGACACTTTTTTCGCTTTTTTCACGTTTTCTTACTAACACACTCGACTCTTTGATGAACAAAACCAGAAATAATTATGCATAATTTCATATTACATTACTCAACGCCACTTCAAAGTCCTTCACTTCTACAAAAGATGGTTCTTCAAGGGTTCTTTAGTAAAGAAAATGGTCCTTTATAGAACCATGAACACTCAAAGCACAATTACAGTGTTCTTTTGCATCATGAAAGAGTTCTTTAGATTGATGGAAAATTTGCATGAAAGTGTTATAGATGGTTCTAAATAGAACCTTTTTGAAAATAGGTCCTACATAGCACCCAAAAGGATTCTTCAACAATAAATATGATTTGTTATGGTGTAAGGCGTGTAACAGTAAAATAATCCTTTTGGGTGCTGTACAGAACCCTTTTCAAAAAGGTTCCATATAGAACCATTTATAGCACATTCATGCAAATTTTCCATCAATCTGAAGAACCCTTTTATCATGCAAAGAACCCTTTAATTATGCAAAGGGTCCTTTGAGTGTTCATGGTTCTATATAAGACCATTTTCTTTACTAAAGAACCCTTGAAGAACCATCTTTAAGATATACGTTGTTTATACAACACATTTTCCATCAGTCTGAAGAACCATTTCCCCATGCAGAGAAACATTTTAGTATGCAGATGGTTCTTTGAGTGTTCATGGTTCTTTACAGAGTCACTATCTTTACTACAGAACCCTTGAAGAACCATTTTTAAGAGTGTAGAGCTAATCTAGTTGTTCTGTCCTGTGAAGGTCGTGGTGGTTTGTACCTTCTTTGTGAAACTGATGTATAAATATTTGTATGCAAATATCTGAAATAGTGCATCAGTGAAACTGTCTGATGTCCAACTGGTTCGGCTCCTCAAGACCTTTTATCTGACCACTGAATCTGATACACAGTCTTACTGGACGTCCCGTATCAGTAATATTGGGCTATTCTGTGATTTACTGAGTTTGAGGCTGCAGCTCTAGTTTAGTTTGAACATGCGGTTCCTGACCTTCACACTGAGAACAGTAGAACATTAACCTTTTATGATTTTACAGTAAGCCCCGCCCACATTCCGACAGCACAGCCATAACACACCGTCCGACAGTCATTCAGTCTGTAATCGGTGTGTTTGGTTTGGTTTGTTTAGCTCAGTTTGACACCGTAAGCTGACATTTTGACTAATTATCCCGGCACCTGCAGGTGAACCGTAAATAGAACAGTCACGCTGCTGCTGCTGCTGCCGCGCCCTCGGATCAGTATTCCTGCCTGAGCGTCTTCAGGACAGAAACTCGGAGACACACCCAGACCAGACTGAGCCGCTCCGACTCTCAGAGCTCAGAGCCCTGCAGACACACAGACCAACACACACACTACACACACACACACACACACACACACACTACACACACATACACACACACATACACACACACCCTAAGCCTCAGAACACTGCACACAGACACACTCACACACACACACACACACACACACACACACACACACACCCTAAGCCTCAGAACACTGCACACAGACACACTCACACACACACACACACACACACACACACATGGTCCTAAACGGAATGGAGATAACCGTTCAGGTGGGATGAGGGGACAAAAGTGATGTTCTATATTCACAGATTCCTATATTCCCAGAATCCTATACTCCGAAGCTCTCATGTTCCATGTGTCGTATATTCCCTGGATCATGTGTTCCCATGCTGTGTCAGTTATATTTCCCAAACATCAAAATTAATCTATTTGTCTCGTATGTTTACAAACATACATATTCTTATATTACACAGTATATTCAGTAAACGAATTAATGTTCCTGCTGCTTCCTAAAGGATTCCCTTAAACTCTAAAGGATTCCTTTAAACTCTAAAGGATTCCCTTCAGTGAACAGGACTGAGAATCTACTCAGTGATGATCAGCTTTTAAATGTTTTTAGTGATAATTTAAACTTCACAACATTAACATCGCAAAACATTCCCATAGTTGACATTAATGAACAGAGGAATCTCTGAACTCATCCCAACAGCATCGACTCTCCATCTCAGTGCTGTTTATGACAGTAACTCCCCTCAGCTGCTCTTCTACCATCTGAAGCGTGTTTTAGTCTGCTAACTAGCTAGTTAGCGAGCTAAAGGCTAAACAGCCAGCAACAACAACAAAGGGAGAGCAGCACTTTTACGCCAGACAGCACAAACACAGCACAGCCAGACACAGAGAGTCTGTAGTCGGTGCTCCGACTGCTCCACACGGCTCCACGCGACTCCACACGACTCCACACGGCTCCACACGGCTCGTATTATAAAGTTTGCACTGCTGGCTAATTAGCTCACTGAGCCTGGCCGAGGGCTAAGTGGGTTCCTATTGAAAAATCAGCTCTTTGATGTTCCCATGTTCACTCTTTGACCTGTGATGACCTCATGACCTCAGGAACCCTTTCATAGCTCTCCTTAGAACAGGGGTGTCCAGTCTGATCAGTAAGGGCCGGTGTGTTTTCATTCCGATCAGGTTGGAGCGCCATGACTCCTCTCGTTCAGTCAGCTGCTTTCAGTCTTCAGCTGATCAGGTTCTCCTGCTCTGATGGAATGAAAACCTGCAGCCTCGCCGGTTCTCCGCGGAACACTGAACTCCCCTAACCTGGAGCATCACAGTGAGGTACGATGGGTCATATAAAGAGCTGAACAATGGATCCTGGGAACATAGAACCTTGAGAACATAGAACACTGCGAACATAGGACCCTGAGAAGAAAGGTACATTCCTGAGGGTGTGTATATTAAACCTGAGGGGCAAGGCAAGGTGAGTTAAACGTGAGGTATACATTAGAAAAACTGTGAGGTAAAAGTGAGCTAAATTTGAGGTAAAAAAAATGTGAGGTAGAAAATACAAAAACTGAGGTAAATGTGGGGTAAAAATTAGGAAAAATGTGAGGTACAATGAAGTAAATGTGAGGTATAAGTAAGTAAATGTGAGGTATAAGTGAGCTAAAATAAGGAAATGTGGGGTTAATTTGAGGGAAAAAGAGAAGAAGGTGAGGTAAAAGTGAGGAAAAAATGAGGCAACAAGGAAAATTGTTAAGTCCAAGTGAGATGAATGTGAGGTAAAGGTGAAGAAAACATGAGGTAAAAATGAGGTAAAAATGAGGTAAAATGTCACTGAGAAACAGAGCTGCAGCTTTCAGACTAAAACTAACAGACCTTTAACTCTCACTGAGGGTCACCTGCAGAATAAACACACCTGAGAGAAAGAAAAACAACCCAGAATTCACACACACACACACACACACACACACACACACGCACACACACACACACACGCACGCACGCACACACACACACACACGCACACACACACACACACACACACACACACGCACGCACACACACACACACACACACACACACACACACACGCGCGCACGCACACACACACACACGTGCACGCACACGCACGCACACACACGCACACCTGTCTCACACACACACACCTGTCTCACAGACCCACACCTCACACGCACACCTGTCTCACACACACACACCTGTCTCACAGACCCACACCTGTCTCACAGACCCACACCTGTCTCACACACACACACCTGTCTCACAGACCCACACCTGTCTCACACACACACACCTGTCTCACAGACCCACACCTGTCTCATACACACACATGTCTCACAGACCCACACCTGTCTCACAGACCCACACCTGTCTCAGACACCCACACCTGTCTCACAGACCCACACCTGTCTCATACACCCACACCTGTCTCACAGACCCACACCTGTCTCATACACTCACATCTGTCTCACATACACACACCTGTCTCAGACACCCACACCTGTCTTACAGACCCACACCTGTCTCAGACCCACACCTGTCTCACACACACACACACCCACACTCACAGTATGCGGCGGTAGTTCTTCTCCTGGTAGACCTGGTTGATGACGTAGCTGATGAAGACGTGGAAGTGCTCGACAGCGTGGTGATAAACGATATCACACACGTCTGAAATCAGGAGAGACTCTTCGATCCTGTGTTCCAGATCCATCAGGAACCTAAATACACAGATAAACAATGATAAACAACAATAAACGACAGTAACATCAACTTATACAGCATTTTTCTCATTATATTTAAGGGAGTTTAATAAATACTAAACCGCAGTGAGTGATTCTGAACGCAGGCTCTGCTCTAAACCCACACTTTCTATCAGCACACAGACCTTTAATAAAATACTCTTAAAAACTACAAACACAATGATTTTCATTTGTATAAAACACTGTAAACACTTTAATTTCACTTAAATACAACTAATTCTCTAACATAAGGGTTCTGCTAGTCTACACACACACACACACTCACACACTCCTGCTCAGACACACCTCTCGCTTGCCTTCATGACGTCAGCGATGTTGGAGAACAGGAAGTGCATGTCTGATTGGCTGAGACTGTTGATGAGGTCCGAGTTCTGCAGGAAGTGATGCTCCAGCAGCTCAAGACTTTTATAATACGACGCTTCAGACGTCACCAACTCAAACATGGCCTTCAGAGAGAC